TGGGCCTTAACGTAGGTATATGGGAACCCCTTTGGGCCCTAAGTATATACCATATACCTACATGGACCCTTTAGGAAAGATTAGGGTTTGGGTGGTGATCTTGAACAACCCAACTGTAGAGAACCCAAATGCTTCCGGGTCCGATAAGTTTCATATTGTCAGGCAAAACAACCACTATGCGTGGACTAACGCAAACCCCTCTTTAAACCCCCCCCCCCATAATAGGGATTATAATGGAGATCCTTACATTCAGGCCCTTAAAAGGAGGCGAATTATTCATCATGGGTCTACATTAGGGCGGGGTGCTGACTTCAGTCCTTTAACATTATGCCCTGTACCAGCACGAAGGATTCCGGGGCTTTAGAGGGTCTACCCAAACTTCAAAAGTATGTAAAAAACAGCCCCGAACACTTAGATATAGCCCAAAAGGCAATTATCTTGCATACTTTTGGTGTTTAGGTAGGGTTTCGAAGGAAAGGGATGCGGGCTTGAAAATTGCGGATCAGGGCTCGCTCTCCGCCGCTGGCTGTCCGTGGTTCAGACAAGGGGTCCTGTTCGGAGTAACTCCAGCTAGAGGTTATGCCATTTATACTGGGCAATTAAAAGCGACCCACCCGACCTCACCCTAAATGGTGGGTTATATGGGGAAGAGTACCAAAATTCCCTTAAATTGGGAATTGAAGTCATTCTGAATTATCCAATTTATATTGGGTACTGCCCCCCACCCAGTAATAGTTAGATCCATGATTTTGTTAATTACAGGATAACCCCCTTACACGTTCTTACCAAGAAATATGAGAGAAGGGTACCGTGCGTGCGTCAAGGTAGTCCACCTCAAACCTAAACCTTAAACCCTGAACCCTAAACCCTAAAACCTAAACCCCAACCTTAAACCCTTGTCGGTGCAGCGTGATGCTGCTCACGTTCTTGAAGCCTTTTCAGATTCAGATTGGGCCTTTAAACGGATTACGGGATAAAGGTGTTATATAGGGGTATATATGATCGTGTCCCAAAATAGGGGACTCCAATGTAGAGTCCCAAATGCTATATACCTTACTATATGGACCCCCAAAATGGTATCCCTGATTTTGCGAAACCTCCAAAAAGGCTTAATAACGGAGTTATCTAGGGATCATGGAAAATGAAATGGAAACTACTATTTGGGCCACCCGGCGCAGGTTGATCTTGCATTTTGGTCAACGAGATTTGCGTCCACGAGTCCAAGAAAAGCCTGCGAGTGGTAGCTTTATGTCTTCAGGGGAGACCGAGTACAATGCAGCCGTTGCATATGCAATTTCTTTACTCCTTGGACTTAACTTGGACCTTCTTAGACCCTTGACCTTTTGGGATTCCCTGAAATACCCACCAAAGGCACCTAAGGCTTAACCCTTAGTATGGGTCCTAAGTGCCATGTAGTTTAGCGAGATACGCTTTTCGGCCTCTTGCGTGCAATCTCATGGAGCCCCCGTGGGGCGCCTGGGCTTGATCTTCTCGACCTCCATCCACGCGAAGGACATGGGGCGGTGAAGTCGATCTTGGTCGCCATCCGGGTGCTGGACAGCGCCGGCACAATGGAGAAGGAGGACATGAGGTTGTTGATGGACAAGTACCAGTTCGAGATCGGGACCTTTGAGAGGGAGCTTTTGGGTTGTTACCATTGAGCCATCTAAACCCCGTATGGTTGCATGTGGCCATTTCAAGGTTGAAATGGCTCAAGCCCCCTAATTGTAAGACTTCCCGTATGGTCTTGTACGGCCATTGAACCCAATCCCCCTAAACTTTTAAACCTGAACCCCTGAACCCTTTACTAGCGATGGGATTCTGATCCATGCCGTGGTGGACTTCATCTTTCCCGTGATGTTGAATTTGTTGGGAGACCTATGGGCATAGTATGCGGAGGTAGTAGGGGTACCCATGAAAGTAATGCCCATCCCCGCCTAGACTCCGTTTAGCCCTGATGTCACAAGGGGTGCCCTGCTTTTGCGGAACCTAAGTAAGCCCCAAGTATGCCCTAAAATCCCCAAAACCTACGGTGGATGCAGGACATCTTGCACCAATTAGGATCCCTGATATATGGTAATTTGCAGGGTTGAATTTATTTACGGCCAATACGCGGTGGTGCAAGATTTCCTGCATCCACAGTATGTACTCCTATGTACCATTCTGTTAAGAAACAGCCAAATGGTACAATCCTGCCCCCCAGATGGCAGAGGGAAGGTTCGCATTTTGGTTAGGAGCGTTTGGGATCTGCCTCTCAAGAATTGCTGTCCCAGTAACTCATCCTTTAAAAGAATCTTCAGAACAGCACATGCCGCAGGCCCAGGGAACTCTGCAGAACTCGGCAGCTACTGGGCTGAGAGGGGAGAACAGGGGCTTGGGTTCTAGGTGCAGTCCGCGGACACACGGTTTATCGGTTTAGGGCTGGGGGTTGTGGTTTAAATAGACTAGGGTTCCGGGTTTAGGGCGGTTTCAGACTCCGAGTCCGGCTTTGGCTTTACAGTAAGAGGTTTGTGGGAAACCCCAACCCCTATGACCCTACATTATTGAGGGTATGTTGGGATAATGGAAAAGAAATGTAAGCTACTATATCATAATAGGGTATACGAGCATATAGTAGATCAGAGTCATATTAGCTGCTTTCGATAGCAGGCTAGCTAAGGAACCTTTAGTATACTGACTTCGTTAGTGGCAGCTGCGCTAGCAATGCAGGTAGGTTCCACTGGCGGCCTGAGCCCAGGAAGCGCGTGGAAACCCAACTGCAGTCCGCTCTGTGTGCTTGTGACTTACTGGGGGTTAGTAGGGAGTTTGGGAATATATTATATAGGGGATATGTAAGGGAATATATTCCCTTATTCCCTACTAACCACCAGTAAGCTGACTGAACCCTCGGAGACTCAAGAAAAATCACCATTGCCAGCAACCTTGAGCTACTGGGGCATTTTTTGGCTAGCGGCCGCAGAAGCAAATGGGAAACCCCGCAGCTCTGTGTCAGCTTCGACAATGCCTCAGCGCAAGTTGGCATCACAGAGCTGTTCCTGGGCCTGCTGCCTGCGGCAAGCGTCAGCGACATCCGGTTCTTCGGTGAATGCATGAAATCCACTTCCCTTGCGTCTGTCACTCCGGGATTTCAGGCGCTTGCTGTACAACAGCCACATTCTGCCGCCGCATAATGACTGCGCGCGGCCAGAAGAAGTTGGCGGCTGCGACCAGGCTTCTCGTTGTGTGCAGGCGACCTGTGACACGACCGCCGTAGCTGCTGGCCGGCCTCTCGTAGCTTAGTATAGTATAGTCCCCGATATCCCTAAACCTTATAAGCCCTAAACCCTAAATCGTGTATAGTCCCGAACAAGGGTTATGGAGTCCTTACTCTGGTGGTCAGTGTAGTGAACCTCTCCTCCTGGGTTTTGCGCCTCGGTTTGAGTTAGGGATTTCGGGTTGGGCAAGCTTCAGGGTTTAGGGTTCCGGATTTTGGGTCGGCACTTAGACTGCGGAGTTTAGCATTCATGTTTGGGTGGTAAAGCACAGTGTCCCTTTATTCTTACTATTATTCTTCTTACTATTGCTATACATCATTGTTAGGATTCTTTTGTTATTTTTTAGCGGTAACATGTCGTACCCTTGATGCAGTTGATTGATTAGTTTGAGTCTCTTTACACGTTGCGTTCACGCGCCGAAGTGTTCCAAATCATTGCCTACTTGGAAGGGTGATAGGTTTGTGCTTGTGCCCATCTACGCTGCTGTGGATGGATGGTTCGGACGCAAGGTGTTGAGATCCGGGGCTACGGGGATGCTTGAGGTTTCGGACGCGGATTTTGCCGTCCGGGTGCCTTCTTGAAAGACCCCAACTCTGCTGAGTTTTGACAACCAAGTGGATTTTTACACAGCCTGTTTGTTTAAATCTTAGGCTGTCACCCCACATGTGCAGCCTCCATTCAGTATCATTTTTCAGGGTTGCGAGTGTGGGGCTTAGGGTGTTGGGATTGCGGCTGAAGGTTCCGGGACTAGGGTTCAGGGCTGAGGGATTAGTTGCTAGTAGGAAATGCTGTCACTGTGTTGGTGGGGGCTCCAGCAAGCTCTCGCAGGAGAACAAGGCGCTCTTCGACGAGGCGGCGGTGGCTGGTTGGAAGGCCTACGTCGACAACGACGCTGTGCAGGTGCTCTCGATGGCGGAGAGTGCCAGAGTGCGCCAGGAGCTGGCACGCCGTGGCGAAATGGATCGAATCATGAAGCCGCGGTTTGTTCTGGTAGACAAGCATGAGCCTCTTCGCACAAAGGAGCATGATCTTCCGATTAAAGCTTCGGCGCGCCTCTCTATTTTGGGACCCCCCTTATGTATGTTACCACCTGAGGGCTTGCAAGTGGGCAAGGCTCCATGATTTCTTGCATTCATGGTATACTGTAGCCTAAACCCTGGACCCTAAATTAAACCCCAAATCCTAAAACCCCAAACCCAAGCCCCCAAACCCTAAAACACAATTTTGACTCAGCGTTGGTCCTTAAGGTCCTGGTCTTCCACTTTCATTTTCACATGGTTTCGGGTTTAGGGGTTTAGGGTTTGGGGTTTCACATGACCCTTGAAGGCACCGGGGATAGAGGACAATCGGTAGAGCCTGCAGGCCTCCCATGCTCTGCTTTTTTTCTTGGGGAAACCATTCAAGTTTTGCCCAGGTTATAACCCACATCCCCTATCACGATGAATGCTATTCTCTTTCTCCTGCCAAGGGTGCAGATGCAAGGCAATCGCCAGGGCTACTCTAAAGCTTCTAGACCTTACACCGCGCCCTGAACCCTAAACCCGAAATCCCTAAACCCTGAAACCTTAACCCTAAAACCCTAAATCCTAAACCCAAATCCTCAACCCTAAATCCTAAATCTAGGAACCCTGGACTTCCTCAAGACCCCCCAAACCCCTCAATCCTTCTTCTGAATTTGAGGCCTTACCTCTAAAAAGCTTCAACTTAAACCCCAAGCTCAGGTTTGCGGTTACAGGTTTTTGGCTTAGGGCATAGGGTTTGCAAGTGAAATACTTGTATGAGATCGCTGCCAGATTAATCTTGGATCATCCTCAGCTGTTTTGCATCCGAGTAAAAAGGACGCTAGCCTCGGTTTCGTGTGTAGTGCCTAGCCCTACCTCCCTTGCCGAGTGGTCCAGATCTCTGCAGAGCCTCTGAGCACTACGAGCTACCTTACTGCATGTGACGACTGTCACGGTAGCGGAGCCTGCTGAAAGGCGGGCTTGGTGATCCAGGGAACAAGAAGTAGCGAGCTCCAGCCGCAAGGCCGCTGGAGAACCAGCATGTCGACAACAGGCAGCAGTAGCACCAAAAGCTCAGATGGTGTTCCTCGTTGGAACGGCGAGGCAGGCAGCTTCCAGGAGTTTGAGGAGCAGTGCCTCGTCTACGAGCAGAGTGTGGAGTACCATAAGAGGTACATGGTCGCCCCTCGCGTGATCGCCGAACTCCAGGGAACTGCGAAGAGAGTCATCGCGGGCAAGCCAGCAACGTGGGTGTCGTATCATGGAGGCTTGAGAGAACTTCTTGACAGCCTGGGCAAGCCACAGGTGTCGGAGATCGCAGACTACCTGAACAAGTACTTCCGCGGCAGCCCACGCCGGCCAGGCGAGGCAATGGGCGACTACATCGTGAAGAAGACGGAGGCCTATCTTCGAGCTCAACAAGCCCTTAAAAGAGTGCTCGATAGCCGGGGCCAGAAGCACAGGCCCGAGGACCTCTACAGGAACCCCGACGACAGCAGGACCCTCATGGAGCCGAGATGATTGGCGGAGCGGCTACTGGAGCCAGTGGTCGGACTACTCATATGGCCAAGGCTATTGGAGTGGCGGGCCGTCGTGGCAGAGTTACGCCTACAGCGACCCCGGCGGAGGCCGAGGCGACCTCACCGAGATCCTCCCAGACTTTGTGCAAGGATGGTTCCTCCTGAATGATGCCGGCCTCACTCCTGCTGAGCGCAACATGGTGCACACCGCGGTTCAGGGCAACTACGGCGTGCAACGGATCGCCCAGGAGCTCCGGAACCAGTGGGATGAAGCCAGCCTGCGGCGTAAGGAAGGGCTTGGGAAGACCCAGATGGGTTTGTGGGGCGATGACGCGGACGGCGAGTTCCCTGAGGAAGAGCCGGAGGAGCAGAGCTTTAACGTGGATGAGCTCAACATCGAAGGCCAGGCCCTGTACTCTGAGGCCGAGGACTCCGCCCAGAGCGCGCTTGTGGCATTGGACAGAGCACGCAGAACACTACGGGAGGCTCGCACCAAACAACATCAAGTCCGGATGTCCCGTCAGTACTACAAGACTTCAGGATCTACCTCTAGCTGGCGCCCGAGCACTTCGACAAGCAGCACCAGCAGGCCCCCTACCTCAAGCCCCTCGGACGATAGCAACATGACGTGCCTCAAGTGTGGGAAGGTTGGTCACAGGGCGGCCAACTGTCCTCAGAAGGTCCAGCATGCCCAGATGGCCACAGAGGAGCAGACGACAGAGAGCGCTCCCTTCATCTGCTACTCGGAGATGGCCTTCAGCGCTGTGGACCCCGGGAACCTCATGAGCACTCAGGAGGCTGTCCGGAGGGGATATGGAGTGTTGGACGGCGGTGCCACCCGCACCCTGGGAAGTGTGCAGGCGATCCAGTCAGTCCTGGACATCAACCAAGCTCTTCATGGAAGCACGAGACTGGAAGCTGTGCACACGGACCAGAGACCCTTCTTCTCGTTTGGGAACAGCACGGAAGCCAAGTGTGCGAGCACAGTGGCGTTGGGCATCGACGCGGGCAAGAAGGCAGGCCAGCTGGTGGTCCATGCTTTGGACGAAGGAGAGGGGCCAATTCTCCTCTCAGTGGCGACACTGCGCTCTCTCGGAGCGATCATAGACTTTGCCCAGGACCTTGCCGTTTTCAGGGCTCTCGACGACTCTCAGATCGTGCCGCTCCAGAGGTCCAAGACTGGACATCAGTTGGTTCCTTTAACAACCAACTTGTTTTCTGGGGCAAAGGCAGCAAAAAGGGCTGTCCCAAGCCTCTCAGACTTTTTGCGCTAGGGACATCTCCTTCTGCACTCGGTGCCTGACAGAGTGTGGGAGGCTAGTAGTGTGCAGACAGGCAAAGGGGTGCCGACTGAAAATCAGTCAATTGGGGAGCCTTCGTGTGAGTCTCAGGGAGTGTGTGAGCGTAGGGGTAGTGACGTTTTCCATTTCCCTCAGAGTCCTCTGAAGAATAGTTCCACAGACAGCCGCGAAGCAGATCAAGAAGTTGAACCTCAAGGCCCTTCTCTCGATCCCTCACAGCATGCCGGCCGTGGTGGACACGATGAAGAAGCCGCAGCTGATCGCGGAGCTCAACAAGCTGGGCGAACATCCGCCATCCCGTTGGACAACTCTCGAGTTGAGACAGCGCTTGATCGAACTCCAACCAGAGCTGGGGCAGAACCAGGTCAAGAACCGGGTGGTGCAGGAGGACGACGCCACGACCCTGACGGAGTGGGTGACTGTGATCAACCGCAAGAAGCAGAAGAAGGTACAACTGATTGCCCTGTGCCAGGACCACATGGGCCTCCAGCTCTCCGGGCACGAGACTATATCGCAGCTGGAAAAGCAAGCTCTGGCATGGGCGATCGAGAACACCGAGCCGATTCCTTCCGACTATGTCGGATTCGGAAAGCATGCTGCGGAGACCTACGCGCAGGTCGCAGAGGACACGGGCTACTGTGCCTGGATCGTGAAGACCTTCGAGGAAGAGAAGGGTGCAGACAGCCGCTTGAAGCGCCTGGCGAAGTGGCTCATCAAGAACCCACGGAGCAAGCTGGGCAAGGGCCCGGGCAAGGGCTACGCCAAGGAGACCCGAGCCACCGGAAGCTCGACAGGATCCCCGGAGACAAATGTTCTGCTGGAGCTCACGAAAGCCGTCAAGCAGCTCCAGGAGGAAGTCTCCAACATGAAGGACAAAGAAGAGCGTCCCCGGAAGGAGGCGCATCGATCGGATGCCCCGATGTCCTCCTCGGACGAGACGGACGGCAGCTTCAAGAAAGTGAGCCGGAGCCCGTAGGGGATGCAGTACTGAGTGGGGATGAAGAGTCTGACCCTGTGTTTAAAAAGCTAAGCTCGGAGAAGGCAAGCCACATTGAGAAACTTTCTGGGGATGTGGTTCCGGGTTTGTTTCAGGGTCTGGTGTCATCGGGTAGACCTGTTGTAATGGAAGTGGCTTGCCACCCTGACAGTCTGATAGGACAGGCCGTACAGGACTGTACAGGAGATTCCTCATCATGTAGCCGAGTCTCCGTGTGGAACGGAGGAGATTTGGCCACATCTGCCAGTGTAAAGCTTGTGCTTGAAAGGGTTAGGCGCGAGAGGCCCCAGAACATCTGGATCGCCACTCCTTGTGGCCCATATAGTCCCTTGCAAAGGACGAACTGTCGCAACCCCGATCAGATCGCTGAGCTTGAGAAAAAGAGAGCGTGGGCACGTAGGGTGTACGTAGGTGCCGCAGTAGTCGCACGTTTTGCTGCACAACATGGCTCTCATGTTACTTGGGAGTGGTCTGAAAAGTGTGAGGCCTGGAGATTCCCATGGATTCAGAAGATGATTAGGGACCTCGACATGAGGTTTGCGATCACACACGGGTGTCGTGTAGGTCTGAGATCTGCAAAGGACCGTAAGCTGCTGCGCAAGGGTTGGAAGATTGCTACTACTCACAGTAGACTAGCAGACTGCACGCAGTGTACATGTCAGTGCGGCCACCACTATCAGCATGGTAGGTGTGAAGGCAAGGACGCTGAAGCAAGTGCAAGGTACACACCGGAGTATGCAAAAAGAGTGGCTAAGGTGATGTGTCAAGAGCTCAGCCACCAGCAAGTCATAGCTGAGTGCCAGGGAAACTCATCGTTGCCAGTCATGTTCGGGGTAGGAGGGACATGTCAGTGTGACGAGCCATGCTTCAAAAATCAGCAGCAACCTTGTGGTCAGTGCGTTTGCACCGAACAAGCTTATGAAGCGCGAGAGGCGGACCAGCCCACCGCCCAGGAAGCGGAGGAAGTGTTCGAGACTGCAGGTCCCCCGGAAATGGAGGCGGCGAACTGGAACCAGCGGGAAATGGAGGAGGTCGAAGGACTCGCTAAGGAACTCCGTAAAAAGCAGCGATTCGATTTTGCCTCCTGTGAGCGGCTTGTGGAATTGTTTCCCAAGGGCCCGAAACCAAGTAGACCCGGAGCATGCGCGGACCAGGAAGGTCGTTATGATGTTTTCGGAGCCTATGTGTATGGTAACCAGCAAGGCATCACCAGGAGGACACGGGAGTTCCCAGAGTGCACACGCTATTTGAACATGTTCATGTCGTTCCACTGTGGGAAGAAGTACAGATGGACTTCTTTTGCGGTCAACCAAAATCGGGAGTTGAAGGCCCACCGGGATGTGAACAACAATGAGGAACAACCCAACGTCGCCATTGGTATGGGCAACTACCAGGGAGGAGGCATCTGGGTTCAAGAAAATATCCAGTCCAAGGAAAGAGGATGGGATCAATCTGAGAGTGGGGAATAGGTGTCACGGGACACTGATTCGGGGGGCCAGTTGTGGGGCAGGGTGTATCACACCAAACATCAGCTGGTCGTTTTTCCTCCCAAGGCTTGGCATAAGACTGAACCATGGACGGGGAACCGGATCATCATTTCCGCATATAGTAGCCGAGTCAGTCACAAACTGTCAGAAGACGAACAAGACATGCTGCGCAGTACAGGCTTCCCTCTTCCGCCGACCCCGGGTACCGCGTGGATGGTGGGGACAGAAGCCGACCGACGACGGGAAACCGACCGGATCAACCGACAACTCTATCTCCTCCATGCCGCCACCGGCCACTGTTCCACCCGGCACCTAGTGGAGGCTCTAAAACGCCGAGGCGCCAGGCCAGAGGTCATCAAGTTAGCAGAGGAGTTTCGATGTTCCATATGTGAAGAAAAGAAACGAATTCAGCCTCGACATGTTGCCTCTTTGGAGCCACTTCCTCCGAAATTTCATACCATTTCGGCTGACGTGGGACATTTCTATCATGAGGGGAAGAAGGAACATGTGCAGTTTCTTCTAGTCATCGATGAAGGTTCGCGTTTCCGCATAGCCAAAGTGGTGTCAAGAGGGCAAAAGCAGCAGCCTTCTGGGGCTACGTGTGTCCAGTACATCCAAGAAGGGTGGACTCAGATCTTTGGTCAGCCGAGAACCCTGCGTCTTGACCCGGCAGGGAGCTTCCGCAGTCAGGCCGTTGAACAGTTTTGTGATCGTCAAGGCATCTATCTAGACATAGTACCAGGAGAGGCACACTGGAAGATTGGTGTTTGCGAGCAAGCTGTTCAGGGAGTCAAGTCTCTGATGGAGAAGCTAGTCATGTCGGAACAAGACATCGAGCCCGAAGAGGCCCTGGCCACGGCAGTCCGCACCTTCAACCAGAGAGACATGATTAGGGGATTTTCTCCGGTGCAACATGTGTTAGGTCAGGCGCCCGATGAAACTGGTAGGATCAACGTAGGGAACCCTAACATTCCCCCAGAGTTGCTAGTCGAAAACCCCAGCGGTGAGTTCCAGAGGGCCGTCCAGAGACGACAGGAAGCAGAGAAGGCCCTTGCGGACTGGGCGGCTAGGCAACGACTGGTGCGAGCCCAGAACTCGAGAAGCAGGAGCTGCACAGTCTACCAACCAGGAGATCTCGTGTTCTTTTGGAGGGCACAAGAGGCAGGAAGACAGCGCCAGGGCCTCAGTCACAAGCGCGGGAGATTTGCGGGGCCAGCCCGTATACTCGCCATGGAAAGCAAGCGAGGGGCAAATGGGGGAGTAGAAGCCGCTTCCTCAGTGTGGCTAGTGAGGGGAAGGAGCTTGATCAAAGTCAGCATGGAGCAGCTAAGAGCGGCATCTCCTCGAGAGGAGTTGCTAGAGGCAGTCTCTTCAGACAACCAGACACCGTGGACTTTTCATCGTGTGGCAGAACAAATTGGTGGAAACCAGTTTGAAGACCTCAGCCAACAGAGACCCTCGGAGGAGGAGTGGCTGAGAGCACAGGACCCGCAGGAGGAAGTTCAGCCATCGCGCCACGAACCTCACTTGCCGGTGCAGCACCGGTACCGAGGAAAGAGGCCAGTATCGCGACCAGCACCATCAGACGACGAGGAGCTCATCCCAGCGGAGACGAGCAGCAGCTCACGGCGACGCGTGGAGCGCGGCGCGGCTGGCAGGAGGGAAGGAGCATATCTGGATCGCTTGGTAGAGGAACAGAAGGGAGAACGCTGGACGGACCACGTGAACGATACGGCCTGGTTCCACACAGAACAGAGCTTCTGGCAGGACGAACAGGCCTGCGTGGAAGTGGAAGTGGAAATGCCATGTTCCAACCGAGGCTGGAGACAGGCGGCCAACAACTTGGAGTGCTATCTGGTCTCGGCCATGAAGCGGAGAGCCGTGGAAGTGTCGGAGAAGCACATGTCCGAAGCCGACAAGGAGAAGTTCAAGGCCGCAAAGGGCGTAGAGGTGAAAAACTTCATAGCCGCCCAAGCGTTTGAGAGTCTTCCGGATCATCTCAAACCTAGTAGAGAAAAGGCTTTGGGTATGCGCTGGTGTTTGACCTGGAAACTCAAGGACACCGGAGAGGTCAAAGCAAAGGCCCGAGCAGTCCTTCTGGGGTACCAAGATCCGTGTTACGAACACAGAGCAACCACTGCCCCTGTGATGACGAGACAGTCTCGACAGATGCTCTTGCAACAGGCTGCCCGGAGAACCTGGACAGTGTATAAAGGAGACGTCAGCGGGGCGTTTCTTCAAGGAGAAGAATACACTGGCACGCTCCATGTCATACCGACTGAGGAAATATGTCAAGCGATGGGTATTGCTCCAGGCTCAATCACCCGCCTCAAAAAGGCCTGTTACGGCTTGGTGGAAGCTCCACTACAATGGTACCGCTCGGTACACAAGTTCTTCATGCAGCTTGGCCTAGAGAGGACATGGAGCGATAGCTGCACTTGGGTGTGGAGGCCTAATGGGGTTCTCCGAGGACAAATTTCCAGTCATGTTGACGATTTCATGTTTGCGGGGGAAGAGCAAGACAGCGGTTGGCAAGAGGTACTGAGGCGCATTAAGGAGAGGTTTAAATGGGGAGACTGGGAGCGGGATGATTTCTTTCAATGCGGGGTCCGGGTTAGAAGGGTTGAAAATGGGTACGCGCTTTCCCAGGAACAGTACATTGAAGGGCTCCAGGAAATTCCTCTCAGCACCTCTCGGCGCAGGGCCCGCAAGGAAGACACAAGTGAGCGGGAGAAAACTCAGTTGAGAGCTCTGTTGGGAGGTCTGAGTTGGGTAGCACAACAGACGGCACCGCACTTGTCCGCGGAAGTGAGCCTGCTCCTGTCTGAAGTCGGTAGGAGTACTGTGGATACTATCATTAAGACCAACATCCTGTTGTCTCACACTAAGGCGCGGAAAGAGCATCAGATGCTCATTCACAAGTGTTCCTCTCAGGAAGCGCTATCCATGTATGTGTGGGTGGACGCGGGAAGCCAGAACAGGCCAGATGGCGGAAGCACCCAAGGCATCTTTGTAGGCATAGGACCTGCCGCTCTTCAAGAAGGGGAGTTAGGGAAGATCAGCCCCGTAGCGTGGCATTCTTCAAAGATCGACCGAGCATGTCGTTCCCCCGGCGCGGCGGAGGCGCAAGCTGCTGTGAACGGCGAAGACTGTCTCTTCTTCGCTAGATACCAGTGGAGTGAACTTGAACATGGAGGCGTAGATCCCAGGGATGCTGTCAGAACGGTCAAGCAGACCGACGGCTGTCTGGTGACGGACTCCAAAAATGTTTACGACAAACTGCGAGAGGAAGTGCTCGTCATCAAGGGCGCGGAGAAGCGCACTTCGATTGAGCTGATTGGGCTGAAGGAATCCCAGTGGACGACGAACCTGAGAATCAGATGGGTTCACTCCGAAGCCCAGCTAGCCAATGGGCTCACCAAAGCACACGGCGGCAAGGAGATCGAGTTGTTCTACCAGATGGGGCATATCTGGAAGATCGTGGAGGATCCTCAAATGCGGTCGGCGAGACGGCGGCGCTCTGAGGGGCTGGAGGCTCTAGAGGGGAATAGGAAAACTGATACTGGGGAGACTCACACGAGGGAGGGGGAAGCAGGGGCCCATGCAAGTGAAATACTTGTATGAGATCGCTGCCAGATTAATCTTGGATCATCCTCAGCTGTTTTGCATCCGAGTAAAAAGGACGCTAGCCTCGGTTTCGTGTGTAGTGCCTAGCCCTACCTCCCTTGCCGAGTGGTCCAGATCTCTGCAGAGCCTCTGAGCACTACGAGCTACCTTACTGCCTGTGACGACTGTCAGGGTTTAGGGCTTGGGGTGATAGGGTTCAGGGTTTAGGGTTCAGGACCCTAAACCCTTTAAATCCTGAACCCAGAGCCGTAAACCCTAAGGGTTCAAACCCTGCACTCTAAACCTTAGCCATTACTACACACATTTTCATGTTTGTCAGTATACTACCCTGTAAGTCATATGGAATTAATCGTATCCAGAAACAGGTAATTTCCCCAAATAGAAAGGGCCATAGACCCCAAAATCCTATACTTATTCTAGGGACCCCTAAAACAGGTACAGGTAACCCCCTAGCTATGGGGACACACCCATGAAGAACCCTAAGCCATCACTTCGCCCTAAACCCCTAAATCCCTAACTAAACCCCAAACCGTAAACCCCAAACTCCAAACCAGGTTCCTGGAGTGTCTCGCAAGACTTTCAGAAATTTCGGCGTCCTCCGCCGCATCATGGAGGCCTCGGCGGGAAAGTGGTGGTGAACTGGACGGGGGAGGTTTAGAGTTAAGGGGGGCTAGGTTTGACATTTTTGAATATTTGTTGCCGATAATTCCTGTATAATTCTTTCAAAGCCATACAAACTGAACTTTTATAAGGCTCCCACACCCACTTTAGTTCAGGGTTGAGGGTTTAGGTGGTGCGGACCCCGCAGGATTGAGAAGCTTAGGTTTAGGGTTCAGGGTTTAGGGTTTAGGGTTTAGCTTCAAAAGATGTAGTTTTGGATATGGCTAGTACGTCTCGCCTGGGATTTCGAGATGTGGAAAGCTGGCATTGAGGACTGCTTGTGTAAAGTCTGGGATGTAGGGTTTACTTAGTTTTCTTGGAGGGCCAGGGGGACTGAATTAGCAAGTATACTTATACTCCCTAGAAGCCCAATTATCCGCATCATTAACCTACTTACTAAGTTCCCGTGACCCTCCAAGTAGGACCCTAGGATTCAGAGTTCGGACCATGTGCCAGGTCTTTCAAGGGCAGACAGACCCTTAACCCAAGACACGGAACCCGCTTCAGTTACAGTCCCACTTGAGTAGATAGAATATGGGGTATATGCGGATCTCATTCTAATATACCTAAAACCATATTCTATCTACTTAAGGGGGACTGTAACCCTAAACCCTACACCCTTTTGAAGAAGAGGTATTAAGGTCTTGCAAAGCAGGGTCCCACCCTCAAGCGTGTTTGCTGATAAGCTATATGATCTGTAGTCTAAATTCCTAAAGGGGGTAGAAAGGGGACTGTATAGGGCTGTAGTTAAGGATTACCAACGGGAGGATGCAAGGAGTTTAGACTATAGCTTATACGAAGGTTATTAAAGGGCTACTAGGAGTTTAGACTATAGCTCATATGAAGGCTATTAAAGGGCTACTAGGAGTGTAGACTATAGCTCATATGAAGGCTGAGGGCTTGGGGTCATGAACTTGAGTTGGTGTTGTAGCTTTTGGGTCTGGTGTTCCTGAAGACCACTAGTAGGAACTATCTTTGGTGGTCCCCCAGTAATGGTTGCATACGTTTATACAGGCCTAAAGAATGTCAGTACCCTGTGGTCACTCTGCCTGGTTTGGGGTCCTCAATTAACAGCCCTGGGGATTTCACCATTACCATTGTTGATATTAAGATTTCATGCGTGACCTCAGCACATTGTAGCACCATACTTCCCAAGGTCTGCGGTACGTAGTGTCATGCAGGACGTATCGGCTGTAGTTCCATGACCAGTATTCTCGTTGTTCCCCACATTCTTTGGGGTTTCTAATTTGTACTTGCGATCGTCCGCCATGCGAAGCCAAGCCCACACTAGTTTCCCACGCTCCGCCGCCGCCAACATGTCGGTTCCCGCTTCAACATCTCGGTTCCCGGCCTCTCTCCTCCCTTTTAAACTCCTCTTCTGGACCCTACCGCGAACATCGCGGTTCCAGCACTCTCCTCCCTTTAGATTCCTTCTTCCAGGGCCTCCCGCGAAAAGCTCGCTTCCCCGGGCTCTAGACCCTCCCGCAAACATCTCGGTTCCCGCTCTCTCCTCAGAATAAGGTCTCCAAAGGTTTAGGGTTTTAAGGTTTAGGGTTTAGGGGTCCTCAACTTCAAACATCAAGCCACAAAACTGACGTGCACCCCAGGGCAAGCCCTGGTAGGTTCCAAACAGGCCAAGACCCCTGATAGATCCTAAGCCCTAAGCCGCTAAAAATCTAAACCCTAAACCGTCCCAACCTCCGAGCCCTATGTACCTTGTGGGACCATAGGGTCGCAAAGTGGATAGGGCAAGTAGATGACCCAGGGTCACTCAATCTAGGCTTTAGGATTGGTTGCAATATGAGCTTAGTTTCCGCTTGATGTCCCACTTTCGTCAATGTGAGTCTCCGTCGTATATTAGCAAACGTGAGGGCCCATCGAAGTAAAACCCTAAAACACTAAACCTTAAACCCCAAACCCCAAACCCTAAACCCTAAACTAAACCCTGAAGCCAACACCCTATACATTAAATCTGGGCAGGTTATAGCGAGCTCGCATGAGCTTGCTCTGAAATTGACTAGGGTTTCGGGTTTAGGCTTTAAAGGGTTTCGGAATACCTGGACCTCAAAAGTATGTAAAATAATGGCCTTTATGGCTATTATTAGGGGTATAGGGCTATTATTTTACATACTTTAGGGGTTAGGTATACCCCAGCCCCAGATGGTCTTCATTCAGGCTTATGACTCCTTCAACTTGTCTAGTTTGATGTTTCGGTTCTTCCTGAGCTTCCAAATCCAAACCCGACCTTTGCCAAGCAGGTCCTGTCCGCGAGGCAATTCTGTCGGGTTTGCTTTAGGGTTTAAGGTGTAGGGTGTACTTGGATGATCTTTTGACTTCGCAAGTCTGCCTACTATCTTTAATCGCCCCTATTATAAGCCTTATAACCCAAGTTACTATATAAGTGGACTCTATGCCTAATAACCTTTGTTCTAAGCCTCTTAACCCAAGTTCTTAAGTAGACTCTATGCCTAAAAACCCTGCTGTAGTTATTAAGTAGACTTACTAAGTCAAGAGATCCTCCAAATAGAGCTTCAGGTGTAGGGTTCAGGATTTGGGGATGCAGGGCTTAAATTTCAAAGTAGTTCAGGGCTTGGGCTTTAAGATTTAGGGTGTTAGGGTGTAGGCTTCAGGGATGAGGATGAGGTTAAGTTCAGGCCCTGGTGAATCTTCGCGGACTCTAGGGTTTGGGGCTGCAGGTTTCTTCAAGGCTTAGCCCGTAAACCCTAAGCCCTAAGCCCTAATGTTTTCAGGATCCTTAAGCCCAAGCTCCATAAACTTTCAAGGCATTCTGTGAGGAGGCGTTTGGTCTTCCAGAAAACGGGGATAACCCTAAACAGCAAACCCTCAATCCTATACCCTAAACCCTAAACCGCATTTTGGTTTCGGGTAGCCGGCCACAAGGTCTGAACGCAGCTCACCCGTGGATCTACGCAACAAGAAAACTCGAACGAATGTGTTCTGGGGACGCTGCCTTATGGAGCATCTTTCCTCAGGTAAGCCCCTAAACCCTAAATCTCAAGCCCCTTGGATTTTGATCTGGGTGCAATGACTTCCGGGATTCGCCCTCAGCGCGTCCTCAAACGTGATTCGTGGGATTCGTTCGATCGAGCGGCCTGGGGTGTGATTAGTTGTACTGGTGGCTAACAGTAGGGAATAAGGCAATATTTTTCTCATATAACCCCTATATAAGATATTCCCCCTTATTCCCTACCAACCCTGAGCTCTAAATCCGAAACCCCCTTTATGTAATCTAATGTATTCCCTCATTCCCTGAGTACTAGCCCTGAGCTCTAAACCCTAAACCCCAAAGCATACGAGCTGCCGTGTAAGCACAACAGGCCCTCAGTGGAAGAATTACCTTCCGGGCTGCCGCTAAGGAACTTAAGGGTATAGGGTTTAGGGTTTGGGGTTGAGGTTTACGGGACTCATAGTAACTGTTATACTACTCATTATGGCAATTAATTTGGGCCCTAAACCCTAAACCCTTAACCCTAAACGCTAGATCCTGATCCCTAAACCCTAAGCCCCAAACCCTAAACCTTAAGCCCTAAACGCTTCACCCTAAACCCAAAGCCTTGCATACCCACCACCTTGGTCGGCCAATATTTCAGTAATCAGCTTCAACGTGGATGGGGCGGCAGCTCAACATGCGTGGCTTGCGTAGACATGAGCGCGCCCGATGCAAGGGTATCCCCCAACTTCTTGCCGCTATCCCAACGCCCAATCCCTGAACTTGAATCCCCAATCTCGGAACCCTCATCCCTATAAACCCTAAACCCTAAACCCCTAAACCCTAAACCCTAAACCTTAAAGCCCAACACCTCAAGCTCTCATCCGCAAATCCAATCCTTCAAGCCCGAGTCTGCAAACCCTCATCCTTGAACTCTACACAAACCTCAAAGGTATGTAAAATAATAGCCCTAAACACTTAAATATAGCCCAACAGGCCATTATTACACATACTTTTGGTGTTTAGGTGCACCTTACAGTAATCCCCAATCCCCAAACCCTGATTCCTCGAAGTTAAAGCCCAACTAACCTTAGACCTCAATCCCTCATCCCTAAGCCCAAACTCTAAACGCTGATCCCTAAAGTCTAGTCCCCAAGCCAAAACCACGGACCCTCAGCTCGTAAATCCTAATCTTCGAACCCTGAACCTTATTCCTGAAGGCTTTTGACCCGGGGCCATGTTTAGGTGCTGTTGGATTTGGGGCTTCAAGAGGCTAATGTGGTTAGGGTTTGGGGTTCAGGTTTTCGGGCTCAGCTGTATCCCCAAAATGCTGCAAATAATGACCTATCAAAAAGGCCAAAATCTAACATTATTCCACAAATGCTGT